TGGCCCTACTTTGGCTAAATTTTCTGCGCCGCAGGCAAATTTTTGAAAAAGCAGTCAAAAAAGCCGTTTTTGGGCAATTTTTGAAAAATTTTGACAAAAAAATCGCGTTTTTTTTTGGCGCGCGCTCCCCCTCAAAGTTAGTATATATTGGCGCCAAAGGCGCCTTTAGAAAAAATTTAGGGTCGGTCGGCCAAAAATGGATTTCTGAAAAAGTATCAAAGGGGGGACCCTTTGGGTCGGCAGGGGGTCGAATCCCTGAGGCCCGGATCAACCACAAAAAATTGTTTCAAAAAACTTATCAATTTTCATAAGAAATACTTATAATAAATCCATGCATTCCTGTGGCGCCTGTGTGTAGGGACTACGAGAACATTACAAATCCCTACTTAGGGGATCTCTTCACTGAACACGTGTTGTGGCTTAGAATGTCCCGAAAGTACCACATATACTTGCTCACTACATACCTTCCCAGCTCATCACTAGCAGTGCTCAAGTAATCTATTTTTTTTCTCATTGTCTTAAACGCGTTGTTCCCTCTGAAATCTTCTTGTGATAAATTTGTGATAAATTTAATTAACATTTTTGGGTGTCAAAAAAATCTTAGTTTGCCAAATCTCGCTGCACACGAGAGACTTTTTCAGAATATAAAACACACGCCAACCTGGAAACTTTACGGAGTGATTACTCGTCCTTGGAACAAAAACACCGAGGAAATGATGAAGCCCATATTCGAAGTTTGTTGTTTTTTTTTGCTGAGGTAAATTCGCTTCAAAGATTTTAAAATGTTCAAAATACAAGACACGTTCGAACTTTTCAACAAATTTGCCCCAAAAAACATTACAAAAACAATTATCTTCAAAGATCAGGTTGGCATAGTGCAAGTTTTTTAAATGTTTGCCATGATCGTAGTGAACTACATGCAAACATGTTTCCACTATAGCATTGGAATTTCAGTTAGTCAAAACTGTATATCGAACAAAATGATTTTTTTTTTGTACATTACTTAGAATTTTTCTTCAATAATTGAATTGTTTTGATCTGAAATTGTCTTTTTTTGCTTCTATGCTGTAAAAATGAATGTCTTTTTCAATGATGTCGTTAAAACGTTCTGTCCAGTTTTTGACACTTTAGTCTGCTACCTCCAATGAGCCAAGTGTTTCAGACAGTAGCGGATTTAAGGGGGGGGGGGGGGGCGGGAGAGCGGACGCCCCTTCCCCCCCCCCTCAGGGATTCGACCCCCTGCCGACCCAAGGGGTCCCCCCTTTGTACTATTTTGAGATATCCATTTTTGGCTGACTGACCTTAAAATTTTTCTAAAGGTGCCTTCGGCGCCACTCTATACTAATTTTGAGGGGGGAGCGCGCACCGAAAAAACGCGATTTTTTGGTCGACATTTTCCAAAAAGTGTCTAAAAATGCTATTTTTGGCCTGTTTTTGAAAATTTTGCCTGGGGCGCAGAAACTTTGGCCAAAACAGGGTCCATAGAGTGGTTTGGGAGAGTCAGAAAATCAATTTGGTCGACCTAAAAAAAGGTCGACAAAATTTTTAAAACTTTTTTGAAAATCCGCCCCCCCCCTCGAGAAATTCCTAGATACACAAGCTAAGTTGTGGTTGGGCATTTTTTTCCCGTTCTGGTGTTTCTGGTTTCCCGTTCCATTGTTGTCCTTGTTTTCATAAAGACAAAAGTTGGCCTTTTTGCAGACGACAACACACTGGTTGTTTCAGCCAACTAACCAAGTTTAAAGTTTTTCAGATGAGGTTAGATCCTTAAGTGACCAGTGTTACAAAACAAACTAACAATCAATTCAAATAGAGGGCAATTTGAATGAAAATTAAGGTTTGCGTTGTGATAAGTTTAAGTAGATACTTTTGCAAAAGGTTACATGGGAAGAAAGTTAAAATTTATAAAGGTCGTGAAGTTCTTATCCAAAAGTGATTTCACATAATTTAAATTTTAAATAAGTTTTTTGTACCAGATTTTGTCTATAATTGCTTGTTCATTGTTAAACCATCCGAAAAAATGAACTTGTGTTTTAAGCCCAAACTCTTTTTCCTAGGTCAAACTAAACACAAAAATCTGTTTCATTCTATTTAATTACATAGCAACATCAAACAGTCCTCCAAATTCCCCTGCTAGTGCAACATGAAAAAACCTTTGCAAATTGATCTGAAAAAATACGAAAACTGAGAACTAACTCCCCCTTAATTATATTCGGAAAGAACGTTGTAACTTGTCAGACTTTTCAAATCCTACGTTTAATTATTTATCTCCAAAAACTGTGTTATTTCAACTTTTTTTCCAAGTTTGATTTTTCATCTTTGCCAGTTCCGGTAGTTCACAAGTTTTAGGTTAATAAGGAACTTTGCTGCCAGCTGCAAAAAAAAATTGTGTCGCAATGCTTTGTTTTCTTTGATCGATTTACGTCGTACGCTTTTACGCCCCCCCCTCGAGAAATTCCTAGATACACAAGCTAAGTTGTGGTTGGGCATTTTTTTCCCGTTCTGGTGTTTCTGGTTTCCCGTTCCATTGTTGTCCTTGTTTTCATAAAGACAAAAGTTGGCCTTTTTGCAGACGACAACACACTGGTTGTTTCAGCCAACTAACCAAGTTTAAAGTTTTTCAGATGAGGTTAGATCCTTAAGTGACCAGTGTTACAAAACAAACTAACAATCAATTCAAATAGAGGGCAATTTGAATGAAAATTAAGGTTTGCGTTGTGATAAGTTTAAGTAGATACTTTTGCAAAAGGTTACATGGGAAGAAAGTTAAAATTTATAAAGGTCGTGAAGTTCTTATCCAAAAGTGATTTCACATAATTTAAATTTTAAATAAGTTTTTTGTACCAGATTTTGTCTATAATTGCTTGTTCATTGTTAAACCATCCGAAAAAATGAACTTGTGTTTTAAGCCCAAACTCTTTTTCCTAGGTCAAACTAAACACAAAAATCTGTTTCATTCTATTTAATTACATAGCAACATCAAACAGTCCTCCAAATTCCCCTGCTAGTGCAACATGAAAAAACCTTTGCAAATTGATCTGAAAAAATACGAAAACTGAGAACTAACTCCCCCTTAATTATATTCGGAAAGAACGTTGTAACTTGTCAGACTTTTCAAATCCTACGTTTAATTATTTATCTCCAAAAACTGTGTTATTTCAACTTTTTTTCCAAGTTTGATTTTTCATCTTTGCCAGTTCCGGTAGTTCACAAGTTTTAGGTTAATAAGGAACTTTGCTGCCAGCTGCAAAAAAAAATTGTGTCGCAATGCTTTGTTTTCTTTGATCGATTTACGTCGTACGCTTTTACGCACTTTAAACCTCGCTTCAAGGAGTTTTGAGGTTTAGCAAAACCAAATCAATTTTTCGGGTGCTGGTTGTTCCGGCAATGTTGATGTTTAGAGGGGCAGAACTCTCCCCCTAAATACCAAAACCTGACCAGTGTTACAACTTTGATAATCTCTTTCGACATCCGTTTTTGACCGACCGACTCTAGAGTTTTCTAGAGGCGCCCTAAATTTAAACAAAAGGCATACGCCTACAATCTTATATCTACCCCTGGATATTTATACCTCAATATATAAAATTTTAGAGTGGAAATGTAAGAAACTTATTACTTGATAAGTTGGGATTAAATCGCGTTACTCCGATTCAGGAGGAAATTACAAAATAATTGTGGTTGTTGTGGTCTTTTTGAAGACAGTTTTGTTTTTGTATCTACCACTTTTTGACAAAATAGCAGACAAATCAAAAAAATTTCGATGCCGTGAGCTCAAAACCAAATAATTTCATTTAACTGCATTCAAGCTGCTTGAAATTTTTTTGATGATTTTAATTCTGGACAATATCGGAAAAGAATGTGCGAAATATTATTATTTTTTTTCAAGCTTAATCGGGCTTAAAAATCATTGTTCTAACTTTCAAAGAAATGACGATAAGTTTTGGTGTCTCTGGGTTACTTTAGACAGTTTTTGGAGGTTTAAGTAGCAATTCTTGAATATATGTTTATTCATCTCATCTGACAGTTATTCATGCCCTGAGTTTATGTTGATTTTACTTGTGACCATTTTTTGTTTTGCGTTTTGAAATTTGTTAGTTCGGCCAATTCATTTCAATTAATGTGCCGTAATTTTCGGCTTAATGACGCGTAAGCTGGGCTCTATCATGGGTCATAAGTTGTTATAAAATGCAATGAGGCAAGCTATTTAGTCTTTTATTACATAGCTAGTTTAAAAACTTATCAATCGTACTAAACTTATCGTGCAGAAGGAAAGGGCGGCTTTCAGAGAAAAATCTTTTAAATATCAAATTTTGTAAATGCTCTTCAAAGACAATTAAAAATGTTTCGTTCACCAAAATATCTCTCAGATGCTTAAAACTAGATGCAAAAAGTTTCATTGGTACTTATTGAAGTCTGTGTGGGCGAAAAGTTTAGAGGTTTTCTAACAAATATTCACTACAGTTTTCCGAATGTGAACTTTTAAAGCTTGAGTTATAAAAAAGATTTTATCTGTGTTTATTTTTGTCAAGTTATGAGAGTTAAAAGACTGCCAAATCGGCCAATATTGGACAATTAGTGCAGTAAAAATTTCGTGCTGTTAACGCGTAAGCGGCTATTTACTCCGACCATAAATTGTTCCAAATCGAGCTGAGGCTTAGTATTCTATGTTGTTATTACGTTACTAGACGCTGAAAACATCCTTTTGTACTTGGTCTAACTTGTAGGGAATGTTTTAATATTTCCAATTTGTTTTATCAAAAACATTTTCAGAGACATTGTAGTACTGTCGAAACATTCAAGTTTTTTCCCTGATGCGATCAATCTTGTTGTTCCGACTTTTGAAAAAAACTATGGACCATTTTTCCTTGGGCTGGTTTTTTCTCCAGACCAGTTTCAGTTTTTGAACAACCATTTTGAAAATTTTAAATTATATCATTGGAAATAAAAAATTATTTCACTTTTGACCATTTTTTGTAAATATATGGAGTATTAAAGACTAGCGCTTTGGCCAAATTAGGGAGAATGAACGCGGAATGTTTTTCGTGCTGTTAGCGCGTAGGCGGAGATTTAATCCGTCTCAAAATTAGGTTCAAATTGGAGCGTGACATGATCTTTGTTCTATTTAATATTTTGCTAAATCAAAAAATATCATTTAGCACTTTACCAAAAGATATCATTTAAAAAATATCTTTAGCGTGTGGGGGGAAGATGAAACAGCTCAAAAATTTAAAGCCTGTTCATTTTTCTAAAAAAAAATTGTCAATCCGTTTTTTTTTCTATTTTATAGAAATTGAAAACTGCAGCCGGAACATGAGTTTTTGCCTTGATACTAGCAGCCTAATTTGTTTGAGAATACTACTTCAATAAATTTTTTGAAGAAAAATTCACAAAACTTTTTGAAGAATTCAAAACGTTCATCAAATTTGTCGGTTTAATCGTGAGAGAAAAGAAGAACTTTTAGCGTAGAAATTGAAGTTATTGCTTCAACAGACTACAGTTATTTTTGAAAAATACAACCTACGTTTTTTCTGGTTAATTGATTTTTCAACTTTTTTGTTCCGCGGCCCCAAAATTTCGTTTTTTTTCTTACCTACATTAAATATTTTTTTGCCCTACTCGATATGATATAAATTTTTTGGAAATTTTCAAAGAAATTGACAGAAAATTGTGCTCGGGGTGGTTTTTTCTCAAGACAAATTTTGTTTTCAAATACCAGTTTTTGGCAGAATTATTTCATAGCATTCAAAGTTGTTTTTTTGCTGAGCTTCAAACCTAAAAAAATATGTCAGACCTGTGCTCATTTTTCGTTAAGGGGGCTTAAAGATTGCCCGTTTTTTTTAAAACCGATCAATTTTTTCAAACCAAACACTATTCCATAGACCTTAAAAGGGAATCATAACATTAGCGCTGGAGACCTGGAAGCATATTGTTGTAAAGTTTTAAAGTTACTTTTAGGTCAAATCAGAATGAAGAATGAGGAGTGTCTCCACAAACTGTTCATTTTCAGCTAAACATTATTTAAGGTAGCTTCAAGTTTCTTCAAGGGTAGTTTTTAATTCGTCCCTTCACATGAACAAGTAACTGAATTAATAAAATGATGAAGCAGCCCGAAAAACTTTGATCGCAGGCAAACCAACAAGTTGTTCTTGCTTAAAATTAATATAAAAAGCAATTTTAAGAACTAGTTGAGTAACTAAATAACAATACTTTTTTTACACCGATTCGACTTCCTTTTGTTTTTGTTTTAGTTGGGTAAACTTCTGGATTGACCCAAAATGTACCGCGGAGCGAGCGGGACTGACCATAACTCTGAGCCTAGCCCAGATAGTGTTGCTGGTGGGGACAGCTCAGCGATTCCCTTCAGTCAGTGACTTCAAGATGGTGGACCTTTACCTGATCGTCTGTTTTCTGTTCCAAGTCGCATGTCTGGTCGAAACTGTTTTGGCTGCAGTGCTTTTCAGAAATGGCGAGAAAGCGAATACGAAGCGAAAACATGAAGAGGTTGGCATGAAATAATACATTTTCTTTATTTAATGACAACGAAGTTAGTCAACAATTAGAAACAATAGTTGGCTAAAAAAAAATTTCCATGCCCAGCAAAATAAACATGGCATTTAGCATAGGTCTTATAACCTGGAATAAAACAGCGTGTATCTTAGAGATTTATTAATTTTCGTAGAGATCCAGTATTTCATTCAATGTTTATGAAAAATAGCTTCAAAAGTTCAGAAAAATAGCTTCAAAAACTATGCAAGTTAATCGTGATGAAGTAATTCCGTTTCAGAGGGACAAAGTTGTTCTGCAACTTCATTCAACTGCAAACAACTCTAAAAATGGATTGACGAGCACTGACCACGAAGATGATGCCGATGAACTGAAGTTCTCCCCTTCCCCCGAGAAGCACCCACTGGACAACGAGGTGGGTATAATTTGAAACCCCAAAACATGAACAAATCCGAAGTTGAAACCAGGCGGACATGAAACAAGTTACTATGAAGTTGATTTTTATGGCGTTGAAAAATCATGCACTGAATGATCTAAAACGAAACTTTTCATAAACATTTAATAAAGTTCAACAAAAGGCAGCGAACAAATGCGGGACTGATTATTGATGCGTATCTATGGATCCAACTGTTATACTCTGTACTTTATAGGTGGACCAAATCAGCCGTATTGTGTTCCCGTCTGCCTTCATCCTGTGGAATCTGCTCTTTTTTGGACTCAGCTTTCACTTCGCTAACTAAGCTGAGATCAAAAACAGACTTGCAGTCTTGACAGCCGCTGAAACTAAAACATTTAATCTATACAGTTTAGTTTGTATCTAAACTTTCAGCATTGAAACTATAGCATTTTATATAATTTCGAATTATTATTTTCAATTTGCAATTTTCTTTTTTGAAATTAACTTTGTCAGATTTCATTCAGAATTTGCTCAATTATGCCAAGACTTTTTGCGGGACAAAGACTGTGCGCGTCAATCTCCACGATTATATAAAAAACGGTTTTTAAACACTTTAATTAATGAGTATTTTCTCCGGCAAAATAACTCCGGAAATTTGAAAATATAACGATAATTTATAATTTTTTAACAAGCTTCATCATCGGTAACATCGGTCACAATAAACTGCATAACTCAAAGCAAGCTGCAAAAATGGCCAGTATTTGTCCTTGAGACAAATTGCTCTTTTTAAAGGTCAGCCTTAATCAAGGCTGAACCAAATTAGAGCGAAAAGACGGTTAAAATAGGTTTTGGGGGGATCGAACCTGGTTACGGAGCATCCCATCAAGTTCGGTGCATATTCGAGTTCTAGAAAGGAAATGACCTAGTCGGGATTCGAACCGGCGCCGAACCCGCCGGGACGCACCCTGTATACGCTTGGCTACTGTCCCTATTTGCATTTATATTCTGGTTCAGTTTTATATGCATTTATACTATTGTTTTATATTTGCGCTGCAACAAAGACTTTCCTATTTCTTTAGGGGCTGAAAGCCAGACAAAAATTTGTCATCAGAAATAGATTTCTGCAAAAAAATCATATGCTAGTCTTTAATTTATAAAATGTTGATTAGGGCAAGAAGGGGAGGGACTAAAATAGGAAGTTTGCTGCTAATTTGAGGTGTTTTTGTTCTGGCGCTTATCCAAACTGGAGATGACCGTTTTTTATTGTTTTTACTACGATAATAAAACAGTGATCCATTGCCAGAGTTCATTTACGTGCCACCATATTAGGATTAAGGCCATACGAGTAGTCTCCATTTTCTATGCACAGCCCATGCGAAACTAAATAATATGTGCCTCTTAAATCATTTAAACTGACAGGATCTAGCGGATCGGAACTAACGGCTGTTATCGGTCTAGCGTTGAGTGATTGCTCAACAAGGCACAGCGTGGTTCTTAGCACCTCCTCAGTTACTCTTCTGTTGCCTAAGATGTCTTACAAGACGCGCTTAACACTCCGAACTAATCGCTCGCAGGAGCCACCATGGTGCGGTGCGCTGGGTGGATTGAATTTCCACTTGATCCCTTTCTGAACAAAAACAGCGGGCGCGTGCTTGTTCCAACTCTCAACGCAAGCTAAGAGCTCTTTCTGAGCGCCAACAAAGTTCGTGCCGTTGTCGGACATGATGGTAGTCGGAGTACCGCGACGTGCGATAAACCGCTCCACGCCCATCACACAAGAGCTTGCGTCGAGCGAGGGGACCACTTCAATGAGCACCGCTCTAGTGGTGAGACAGGTGAACAAAAAACCCCACCTTTTTTTCCGTACTTCTCCTGATTGGAACTAGGAGCGGCCGAAAGTAGTCGACACCTGTGTTAGAGAAAGGAGGTTGCTTGTAACCCAGCCTTTCAATGGGCAGATCAGCCATCATATGAGTTATGGTTTGCGCTTTGCGTTTTCGGCAAGAAACGCAAGTATTTTCAATGTTTCGCAGCAATCATCGCAAATTTAACACAACGTACTTCAAATTAACCACCACACGCATGTAATTCAAGCCTTGATGGAAATTCCTAACGTGCAAGTGCTGAACCAATAACCGAACAACCGCGTGACGTGCATCAAGTATAATCGGATGCTTGCTATCGAAATCGGAATTAACCAAGCGGCTGATGCGCCCAGTCGAGCGAAGAATGCCAGCTGGTCCAATGAACGGCGAATACTTGGCGATCCGACTATTCCTCGTGATAACTTTACCGGATCTTAGTAGTTTTAGCTCACTAGGGAATGTTTCACCCTGGGACAGGTAAATGAGCTTCTGTTCAGCAATATCCATTTCAGACGGGTCTGTAATTTCTAATATACACGACCGGAAATGTTAATGGATGGCAGCCATCTTAACAAAAATGCTACTGCGCGTTTGTATTTTACAATTGAATTGAATCTCTCCCATTTTCCGAAGGGAAGATTTTTTTCTGTCAAAACCTCGACGACGAAATTTGACGAATTTTCCAGACAAATGTCGATATCACATGATGGTCCTTTGAGTCTTATTTTATCAATAACCCTTGTATCGGGCTTGAACGGCCAATCAGTTGTTCTCAATATACTAGGTCCATTAACCCAGCTGCTTTCCTTGAGGGCTTTCGAAGAAATCCCTCGTGTACCGGTATCAGCTGGGTTATCACCGCTAAGTATGTGATGCCACTTATCAGTGGTGGTAGACTCCAGAATCTCACCAGTGCGATTACCAACAAAAACGGGTAGTTTGCTACAAGAGTGAAGCCACTGAAGAACAGTGTTACTATCTGTCCACATGAAAATATCCGTAACTTTGAAAGTAAGGACTTTCAAAATTTCTTCTTTTAAGCGGGTTGCAAGAAGAGCCGCTTGAAACTCTAACTTTGGAATAGAAAGCGCTTTCATAGGCGCGACGCGGGCTTTGCCAAACACAAAGGCTAATTCGGTCTGATGGGATTTAACAAGTCGCGCACGAAGGAAAGCGACGGCACAGAAAACATCCTGCGAACTATCACCGAACATGTGAAGTTCTATTTGGTCGAAAGGTTCAGTGAAATAGCTGCGAGGTATTGTCAGAGAACCTAACAAATGAAGGCCTGAGTGCCACTCAAGGAATTGCTTTTTGATTTCCTCTGGCAGATCATCATCCCATTTTTGACCGCTGATTCGCCAGATATCTTTCAATAGAAGGCGAGCCTTCACGGTATACGGAGCCAATAACCCAATTGGATCAAAAACGGAAGAAACAAAAATCAACAGGGTACGCTGAGTGATTGCTTTGTCTAGTGGACGATCAACCCCTCTACTAACGACTAAGGTATCTTTTACGTGATCCCACTTAAGACCGAGAACATGCGACGACTGGTCTGGACTCGCACAAATATCTTTAACAGACGAATTGGTCTCACGGTTGTCCGGATCAAGAGCAATTGTTACGTCGGGCACGTTGCTGACAAATTTTGTCAGACGAAACCCACCTAGTTTAAGCAACGAGATTAAATCCCTACCTAATTTCAAGGTGTCATCCCTGTTTTGAAAAGAATCCAGATAATCATCCATATAAAATTTCTGGGTAACAGCCAAAGCAGCTTCGGGTTACTCAGCTTGATTATCCGATGCAGTCTTCTGCAAAGCTAAATTCGCACAAGTCGGCGAGTCACGAGCACCAAAATTGTGACGCGTATTTTGGTGAACTACCACACTTGATGTGGGGTCCTCCCGCCACAAAAAACGAAGAGAGGGTTGATCTTCTTCACGGACTCCAACCTGTAAAAACATCCCTTCAATGTCAGCTGAAACGGCGTATTCATGCTGACGGAATCTTGAAAGAACAAAAATGAGGTTTTGAAGGAGATCCGGGCCAACCAACAGAGATTTGTTCAAGGAAGCGCCATGACACTTCGATGCCCCATTGAGGACTCGGCGCACCTTACCGGGTTTATTCGGGTTCAACACCGGGTGATGCGGGAGATACCACTCACGATCGGCTCGTGATTTCGGATCGTGTGCCTTAATGGTTATGACATATCCTTTTTGTATATCTTCTCTTATTATTTCGGCGTATTTTTCAGGGAGTGACGTATCCTTATCTAGCTTCTTTTCCAAAGACTTTAATTGAGCTAAGGAGGAAAAACAGTTATTCGGTAAACTATTTTCCTTATCGTTCCAAAGCATTGGTACAATGTACCTCTCACCATCGTGAAAGGTGTCATTTTTCAAAAAAGGATAAAGCGCGTTTGTCGGCGGCGGAATGGGCATCTACCTGCTTGAAGGCTCCATATGACTCCAACTCGTACCAAATTTTAATTTGGTCCGCAAGAGACATGTCTTCGACAATACACTTAAAGCAAGACGAGTTCGACTTAAAGGACGGCGGAAACGGACCACTTAAAATCCAATCTATCGGAAGGCGTACGGAGCACGGTGAAATAGAGTCCTCACCCAGAAGGTACTCAACGGGTCTTATGGCATGATAGAAATCCTGTCCAATAATTATTTCGACGTCCTCATACTTATAATGTCTAGGTTTGATCGGAGCCAACTGCGGGTACTTTTCCTGTAATTCAAGAATGCTTATGCTATCCGATCCAATACGAATATGATCCTTAACATAAGCTCGAAAAAAAAAACGAAAATTCACTATTATTCGTGTCGGCGGAAACTTGAAAACTTACTTGATGAGTTTTCATCACGCTCGTGGAATTGAATCCATTTATGGTGAGGTTAAAGGGAGTGCCAATCAAATGGAGGCGTTTTACGAGATCGGCGGATACCCATGAGTGCGTGGAAGCACTATCGCAAAGAGCTAGGGCGTTAGTAATTGTCGCATCCGCAGAGACGGCGAGTGATGCAACTGGCAGGAGGCCTTTAGTTGACTCCTGGCTATGAATATCGCCGACTGCAGCGTTAGTCGAAACATGTTTAGCGTTTGCGTTACCTGACGCCGTGGTACTTTTAGTATCCTTGGGAGGAAAAATTTTCTCCGCTGCATGTAAGAGCACGTTGTGTGTGCTTTCACAATCTGGCTTTGGGCACTTTCTGGCCTTGCTACAATTACGAAAACTGTGATTGCTCTGTAAACACGCAATGCAAAGTTTTTGTTCGGCTACATGTTTTGCTCGCTGCGTAGCGTTTTTCTCTTTGAATACGGCGCAATTCCAAAGAGCGTTTTGACCTTACATACAGAACATGGAGGGTACTTTGGTTTTTCCTAAGTCTTATTATTTACATTTGCGTTACTAGCAAACACTTTCGTACCTACTTTTTGCTTAACTGGTTCTCCAGACTTACCCTTAGAATTGATCGTTTTTAGCCTCTCATGACCCTCCGCTTTTTCTTTAAGCCATTCGTTGAAATCTAGCAGAGTTGGTCTATGCCATTGGCG